GGTTATAGTTGTTTCTCCCTTGCCGGGATATTGTGAGATATCATTGTTTTCTTACCGGGATGTTTGTTGATATTATTGTTCCCTTGCCGGAATTCCTTGTGATTATTGTTGGCTTGTAATTGGGAGCGGGTGGTACGCCTACCACAAGATACAATGAAATGTNGATGTTGTAACAAGTTCGGTTATAGTTGTTTCTCCCTTGCCGGGATATTGTGAGATATCATTGTTTTCTTACCGGGATGTTTGTTGATATTATTGTTCCCTTGCCGGAATTCCTTGTGATTATTGTTGGCTTGTAATTGGGAGCGGGTGGTACGCCTACCACAAGATACAATGAAATGGGAGCGGGTGGTACGCCTACCACAAGATACAATGAAATGGGAGCGGGTGGTACGCCTACCACAAGATATAATGAAATGGGAGTGGGTAGTACGCCTACCACAAGATACAATGAAATGGGAGCGGGTTGCACGCCTGCCACGAGATACATGAAATGGGAGCGGGTGGCATGCCTGCCACAAGATATGAGAAATGGGATCGGGTTGCACGCCTGCAACAAGATGTGAAAAGAAAGTGAAATCTGCCTTTGTTTTTCTTTAATCTTGTTAGTGGTTGGATTCCTTTATATTCTATTGATATTCTGTTTTTACTTGTTTTTCCCCGAAGTATGTTCCCCCCTCCCTAGTTTTAATTGTTTATTTTCGTATTTCTTTTCCGCTATATATATTTGAACTTCATAGGTTTATTTGGTAGTTTGGTCCTGGCCTCATCACTACTTCGTTGAGGTTAGGCTAGGCACTTACCAGCACATGGGGTCGGTTGTGCTGATAATACACTCTGCACTCTTTTGTGCAGACCCCAGTGTTGTGGACTTCGGACCGTGGTGAGATTGTTGATTCTTGATCATCAGGCGACCCGAGGTAGTCCTGCAGGCATCCGCGGGCCTTGGCGTCCCCTTCTATCTACTATTCCTATTTTTTTCATGCATTTCTAGAGACAGTGTTGTATTTATTTCTTTCAGAACCTTTATTTGTAGTATTCTTAGACCGTCTGTGAAACTGTGACACCAATTCTGGGTGATTAAGGTTTAAGCTGTTGTAATAGATATATGTTCAGATATTCTATTGTTTTCTTCCACTTATTCTGAATTTCCGTTGTTTACCCGTTATTGTTTTATATAATGTTAAAGAGAATAGAAATTGGTAAAAAGGTAAATTGTCTAATAATTGGCTTGCCTAGCTAACATTAGTAGGCGCCATCACAACTCCCGAGGGTGAAAAATTTGGGTCGTGACATTAAATACTGGGTTTTCAGAACCGGGTGAATTCTCTATCCTACCTCACTCTTGGTTTTTCTGTTGTTTTTCTTTTGTTAGCCGGTCAATATATAAACCGAAAAGAATAAATGTACACATAGCATGTAAGATACATCAGGATGGTCTGGTCTTTTGGGTACACCTGTCCTAGACGGACCCAACCCCTGTGTTGAGTCCCCAAAGTTAAATGCACGTGATGCAAACAAACGCTCCTACTAGGGATCCGGCATGAGGTTATGTTATTCTAGGTTTAAACCTTGGGTTGTGTTCTTGATCAGGCTTACCCGAGCGGACAACTCGAGCCGAGGAGTGGGCAAACGTACCGGGAGCACGAAAGTCTACCCGGCCTTGTTGCTGGCCCAGCCTCGTTCTATTTGGTATAACTTCTAACAGAAAAGTGGGCCACGAACGTGTGCACCATTTTTTAGAAGACTCAGGTGGGAGGCGTAAGAAAACAATTTAATATAATTCAAATAATATCAAAGCGGTAAATAAGCGGCAATAAGCACATTAGGTCCACAAATACAGTAATATCAACAAATAATAAAGCCAAGCATAGATCATATTAACAAGCTCGAATTCTGAACCCTGAACCAAAGATCATGGGTTCTTTTCCCCAGCAGAGTCGCTAGAGCTGTCACACCTCCTTTTTACACCCAAGAGGGGATATAAGGGAGTTTTTCAAATTAAAGTGATATTATTCGAAATTGGATTATTTATTTAATTTTCAGAGTCTCCACTTGGAATAATTTATGGTGTCCCAAGTCACCGGTTTATTTTAAAGACCAAATCGAGGAAATTTCGACTTTATTTTAAAAGTCTGCGAACCAGAAATTCTACGTAAGGAATTTTGTTAACCCGGGAGAAGGTGTTAGGCATTCCCGGGTTCCGTGGTTCTAGCACGGTCGCTTAGTGATTTGTACTTAGCTTAAGTCGTTTAACTACTCATTTTTAGGACTTATGTGCATTTATCTTTTTACCGCTTTTAATCACTTGATTTGTTCGTAATGAAAGAATTGAGTTATGCGTACGTATACTCATTTCCTTTGGCGCGTCAAAAATCATGTCATGCGTACGTGTCCATAATTAATCACGCTTTATTAATTAATAAGAAAACTTGGTTGAAGTTGCGCGAACGCATCCCTCGATTTATTTTTTAGAATTAAATTCGTAATTCTGTTATGCGAACGTATATATAATCACAATAATAGTCTAAGCCATGCCTAAAGCAAACTAACAGTGTTCATTATTCTTCCTAAAATTTGAGATTATTGTGAGGCTTAAGAGTTATACATCCTTCTGACTTAGCACCACTCATGGCATATTATTATTCCTTGCCAAGAAAGAAATAACTCCAAATTTTCCATCTACCCAAATTAAAAGCATTTATTCGAGAACCAAGACTACGTACATCACAATCGAAATAAAAACTAATTAAAATAATTTAATTTCAAACTAAGTCATGCCACTCAAACAATGTAGAAACAAAAATCAACCAACACACGCACCAAGCTATTGTAAGAACAATGAAATGAGAATAAAAATTGAGAAATAGGCCTTTTATTGATGAACAAAACTAAATATTGCAAATCAATCAGGCTGAACAAGGCAACAATCTTGAGATTGAAACATCAAAATTAAGAATCGGAACCTCAAATCGACACAGGAGAGCTCGAAACCCAAATCGACCTCAGATAAACTAGAACCTCCAAACATCTGACAAAGCAGACCATCTCTTAATATTTTTGCTCTTTAAAATGTTTACCACTGCCGAAAACTTTGTGAACAGGATGTTCCCTACCAAAAAGCCGACGAACTTTAGACTTAAACCACGACGTTACGGGAGGAGATGACGTTGTTTTCTTATCGTCATCAGAATAAGAAAAAGACGAAGAAGAGTGATGGTTATTATTACTGAGATAAAGTGTTTCAGTGATTTTATTTTTTATAGATTCTCTGGCTCATCCGATTTCTCCACTTTACACTCCTCGTGTTCCTACATTATCAGTAAAGTAAAACCCAAATCTTGAAATTCAGTCAAGTTATGTGTCTATTGTATCTGAGAGAAAAAGTTGTAAAGATTCATTTTTGTGTGTTTGTATTTCTTTCACTTTTTAATTTTTTTGGAACAAAACAAGGAAAAGATCATAGAATAAAGATGAAAAACCTTAGCAATCCTGTCGTTTTTAGTGTAGCTCCTAAGTCTAGGTATTGAAAACTTAGGGTTGGGTTCCTATAATTGGGTATTTTATATGGAGGTGGAAAGGGATGATGGCAATTGGATTAGAAGGGAATAGATGGCTAGGATTAAATCTTGCACTTAAGTGGGCTAATGGGTTGGGAAGAATGGGCTAAGGGTAATTGGGTTGGACCATGTCTTTTGGATTTGAACTTAGGCTAAAAAGACCAAATAATACAATGTATCTATAAAAATGTAAAAATCACTCTAAATTAAAATAAACTAATATAAAACTAAACACTACGAGTGAAACTAATTTTTTGTATTTTCAAATGTTATAATACTATAAATATAAATATACTAATTGACTTTAACCTAAAGATGAAAATATTTATTTTATTTTTTGTAATTTTTATTTTTTGTGATAAAATAAAGTAAAAGAGTCAAAACTATTTAATATAATGATATTAAACCTAAACTAAATATTTTACGCTAAAACGTGTAAAATCTTGGGGAGGGTCAAAAATTACATGTCTACAGACTAGGAATATTATCCTTCCAACCATGTTGTAGCCAATTCTGATAGTATTCATTCTAGGTCCAATGACCTCATCTCATCCAACACAACCACTCTAATGACATGACACATCAATACAGTCCAAAGCCATAACCTGTGCAACTCGTGCACCCAATAGCAACATCCCCAAATGTACTCAAATCATGAAAAAAATGACTCAAACGGGAGGACTATCCCGCAAGCTTAACAAGTACTGCCACAATGAAATACTGTAAATTCATCACACCCCGTAGGACCATCACACGAATCTAACACAGGTTCATACCTCAACATAATTTTGCTGCAATGTGTGCCCCATCCAAACACTAATCCATGGCATATACCTCAAGCCACCTTGCTCAAAATCAATAACCACGCGCAACGACATCAAGTACTCAAAGTGCATTACCATAACCATGGAGAAGCAAATGACATAACACCACATGAAACCCGAAAGAGCATAACCAATATGCTATACATCAAGCGATATCCAATACTCTTCTCGCTCAAATCCGTTATAGGACTCCAATAGAACCACACTATATGTGTATACAACCAACAAATCATGACCCCTCATAATATAGAAGAGTAGCTCATAGATCACTCCAGAACACGAATAAGCTCAACAATAATCGAATGGCACATCCCTCAATAATAGCAATTCAAAGTCAACAAATCTGACCCGGTACAGAACACACCTCCATGTTGGGCCTACCAATGAACCCCAAATCTACTCTGGTCCCCCACGATAGATAAATAACCCTCTGAAAGTCTAAATGACTGAATCACAACATATACTAACCTCTGACTAAACTTGGATACTTTTTACGGTCGACAACCACGAAACAATCTACTCACCAGAACTCTCAATCTCTAAATCCATAGAATATACGAATCACCATCTCTGATCTCAACTCCACCGCCTAAATGCCCATACTTCTCCAATTACACAGTCACCCCACGAGGAATACTTCTAGAAGTCTTCTATACCACAAAGCAAAAATTGAACTCCAGCAGTCGATCAAACAAGAGAGTGTCGCAATACCAATAAAGTATCCATAACTCCCACACATCGCCCTTTCTGAAATGTATAATCTCATTAAGCCATACCAGTTAGTAATATCATTTACCTAGTCATCAGAAATTGTCCATGTTGCTTAAGAATTTATGACCTTCCTTTCAGAATTGAACTGTGACCTTACACATGCAAATCCCAACCTTACACAACTTACCACATATACCATGTCATCCCATGATAAATATGAGAACTTCATAATCCACTTCGAGTCACAAGCAACTAAGTACTCAACTAGCCAAGAACTTTTCATTTGACCCCATCTAGGAGAAGATCACTACACATCACATGATCCTCACGCCAGTAGAAGATATACCTCTCTAACCATGGTAGAAACCACCAAGAACTCTCTGAATCCCATTTGCTCAAAACCCAACCGTCAGGATTGAATCCTTCTACCCCAACCAAGCTACACATGTCACCAAAACTCAAGCGCATCACCACGAAACACATGTAGAAACTCATTACCTCATAAACACCCAAAGAACTAATCATACCCATTACCATGTCAATCCAACCTACTACCAAGCTATCCTATTTATTCGAGTTCCTTCTGAATTGCATTCACATTGATACTTCTCCTCACCATAATACCTCAATCCTCAATCCAGACTCACCACATGAGACCCTAACATAAACCACACTGCCCTAAGGCTCATAAGCCGCTGAATGCTCTCTTAAGCACCCCAAAAGTACCACAATCGAGATACTCACTCCAAAGAGACCTTCTATGAATTTCAAGTTGTTCATCTTACTTTCTTGATACTGAAATGTATAATCCACAATGATGTAGAAACACTGCGAGCCTCGACACTATCCAATGTAACTCTTAGCTTCAAGCCACATACGAACCCCCAAAAATTCTCAATTGCCATATATAAATATTGAATTCATTAGAACCATTCTCGAGAGTTATCCACTCTGCTTAAATCTTGATTAGACAGATCAAATGGGCTAATCGACCTTAGCCCCATTAGCACTCCAACACCCAAGGATGTAACCCCACCTAAATGCAACCAGATAAATTTCTGCTCCACGAACATTATATCCTTAACCAATAAGAACTCAAATCATTCCATGATTCTCATATACTCATATAATCTAATAAAACTCATACCCAGAAATTTCCTTTACTCGAGTCATCCTTGATCTCAACCTCTGCAAGTCATAACTGATTCACCAGTATACCTCAAACTGAAACTAATATGACACTTAGTCGTGCAATCAACTTATCAATAGTAGACTCCCCCCTTGGATAAAAGCCATAGATCAAAACACACAAAAACTCACAATGTCCATACTCTATTACTTCCATAATACCATAGTGAGATTGAACTAAATCCTTCATAAGCTTGTTCAACACAACCATCTAGTACTTCAATCATCTACAAATCTCGCATTTACCCTCGTAATAGTCAAGACAACTCTCATACGCGATCCAAACTCAATCTGCAGCATATATAATTCACTGGTAAAGGAAGACTCGCTACAAAAGAGCATAGGGATCACACGCCCTCAGGACACCCTACAGGAGATAACCCACCTACTTTGCCTCAAACTAACATCTCTTTATACCTTTCCACCATCATAAACATCACGCAATCACTTAATATTCCTGAGTCTGAACTCATATCATGACATAAAATCTACTTCGTTCCCCAACTAAACAATATGAAAAGATCCTTCAACACACCCATAACTCGGGGCTATTCATCAAATCAAGATGGAAATCAAGAACCAAATAGTTCTTTCTACCCTCAAGAAGACCCTCCTCATCACATCCAAATCATATGAACATATCTCGCAGTCACATCATACTCATCACGTAGCCATCCAGTCATTACTTCCACTAATATGGACACTACCGAACATATAAATCCAAAAGCACGCTCTCACACAATCAACACCTTAGTGCTCAAGCTAGAGGCAAAGCCCGGACCCAAGTCATCCAGACTGGCCCAACATCAACACACAAAAATCACATCTCGCCTCTCATTTAGGGAATCACAAGCCGTCGATGCACAGCTGATACCAAGTGCTCATGCGCGCATATGAATGCGTGGAAGGAATTTCAAGAGTTACATTTCAAGATGAATCAATGCCGCACGACAAGAATTTCAAGAATGTGGGATTTCCTAAAGGTTTTGCAGCCTCTCAAAGATAGGTACAGACGTCTTTGTACCAATCCGTGAGACTCTACTAAACCTTTCATGACTCGTGAGACCTATGTAACCTAGGCTCTGATACTAACTTGTCACGAACTAAAACTAACCCTATCGTGATGGCGCCTAAAGTGGTACTAGGCAAGCCGATACACTACCAAACCCAATCACTATTTTTATTTTTAAGACAAAACCAAAGTTATTTAACAATAAACCAGCATAAGGAGCTTAAATCAAAACAACAGTGCGGAAAAAAAGCCCGACATCAGGGTATCACTAGTCATGAGCATTTACTACAACCGTCTGACAACATCAAGACTAACATAGCCTAAAAATAACTGAATACAACTAAGGGAGGATAAAGAGGGAGAAAAGTAGGGCTGGGATTGTCAGGCAGCTACCTTACTAACTCTGATGGACCGTCCATTGATTAATCAACACCCGCTATCGGGTTTAGAAATACCCGGATCTACACACAATGTGCCGGGAGTAATGTGAGTACATCAACTCACTAAGTAATAAAAGTAAATAGAGACTGAGCAGTAAAACCATTTAAAACATCTTTCAACAGTCTTCAATGAAGTGATGAAACAGTGAGTAAAAATGGTGAAAACATATACAGCCCCTTAGGCAAAACTCACTCGTATATAGCCCCTCGGCAAACATCACTCGTGAACATCCCCTCGGGCAAACATGAATCATAAACAGCCTCTCGGGCAAACCTCACAATCACTCATATACAGACCCTCGGGCATTACTTCATATCACTCGTAAACAGCCCCTCGGGCACAATATGAATCAAGAACAGCCCCTGGGGCAAAACATCGTATCACTCACTCAGGGTACCCATGCTCACTAGGGCTGTACAGACTCCGGAGGGGCTCCTACAACCCAAGCACTATAACAAGTGACCTCGTGGAATAAATCAATCAGGCCCTCCTTTTTATCACTCGAGGGGTATATAAGAGAGTTTTTCCAATTAAAGTGACATAAATCGAAATGGAATTATTTTATTTATTTATCAGAGTCTCCACTTAGAATAATTTATTTGGTGTCCCAAGTCACCGGTTTATTTTAAATCCTAAGTCGAGGAGAATTTGGACTTTATTTAAAATCTGCAAAACCAGAAATTCTAGATAAGGAATTCTGTTAACATGGAGAAAGTGTTAGGCATTTTCGAGTTTCATAGTTCGAGCACGGTCGCTTAACTATTAATAATTGGCATATTATCTAATTTATTACATGTTTTAAACCTAGTGTGCATTTTTAAATTTATTTATTTAAATCGCTTTTTAGGATATATGGAATTTATTTTTTTGAACAAGTTACGATTATCGTACACTTGTCATTTTGGAACATACCGCAAAACACGCCACATGAAATGCACCCGTGATTCGCGATATGTTTATTTTATTATTGTTCAAAGTTGTTATGATCGGGTCACATGAAGTGCACACCTGAATTTGGGTTAGGTATCATGACTATGCCACGGGAATCGTACCCACAGTCACGATGATTTATTAATCGCGCCTAAAGCAAGCTACGATGTATTTATTTGGTCCTAAATTGAATATGTAGTTTATTTGGTCCTCGAGTTGTCTTATATTTTAGAATTTATTAGTAGTTGGATAAGGAACTCATTTAGCCTTTGACTTTTTAACCTGAAGCTATCTTTGGCTTTTCTGCATTGTGTTCCACCAAATGGTTGATTGAAGTCAAGCGCAAGAGCCAAATGTATTTGCATTTTCAAATAATATCAAAACACATCCAAGGAAAGGAAGTAAGGAATAAAAAGGGAAACTATGCCATGTTCATTATAAAGGGTTATGTGTACAGATTTACCAACCCTAAGTATCTCACAGAATGAAGCTAAAGGCAAAAAAAACACAGTATCTTATAATCGAGGGAAATCGCAGAAAAACAAAGCGAACACTTGACGAGCTGTGAAAGTATATCATACACATATGTCATCAAACACAGGAATAAAAAGCAAATCCATCTAATTAGCTTTCATCAAACACAGAAATAACCAAAACATGCAGCAAATTTAAAATAAAAAGTAGCAGACCGGTACTTGGGCAGAACGAACAAAATAGCTTATCATAGCTAAAGCACATGTCATAGGTATAAATTATATATACTGTTTTTCAACAAACAAACAACCACATTAAGACCACATCCTTAGGAATTGATTAAGTGCTACTGATTACTAACAACATGAGGACATTGAACAGGGTGATTTCAAACCATTATATGCCTATTTGTATTAATTTGTTACCGTTTGAAATAAGATCTCAAAACACAAACAAATCGTATAGCATTATTAGGAAAGGATAATTGCATAGATACAACAATAATCAGAAATTCATTGAAGACAAAAGGAATTCATTCATTTTTTGACTTAACGGTGGCGTAAATCACAACAAAGTACCTGCGTGTGTAGATATCACCTCCAAAACTCCAACTAAAGGCTAGATGAGAAATGAGCTTAGCACAGCGGAAAACCAATAGATCCGAACAAGGAGCAACAGCAAATTTTCAACCATAGTAGCATTTTAAAACCCAGAAAAATAGAAACAAACAGTAGCGGTTTGTTCCAGCCTTGGAGCTCGTCAGCGAGGGAAGCTCAGGCACAAGAGGGATTTATAGGAGGAGAAATTGAAGTGTTGATGGCTGTTTTTGGGACTTTTTGGTATAGGAATTTCAGTTGGGTTTTCAGAGCTTTTACATGGGTTTGGGGCTGATTTGAGCTCGAGTATTAGAGCTGAAAATGGTGGTGTTCGTGGTGTTCTAAGAGAGGTCCATGGCTGAAATTTTGGGCTAATCCCATCCCCCTTTCGTTTTTCTTTTCCCGGATCCCCTCTCTCACTGTATCGTCCTACCTTCCTCTCTATCTATGTGTGTCTTTTTTCAATTGAAAGAAAGAAGCCATCTCAAATCAGAAGGGGAAAGAGGCTGAGGTACTACCGCTAGAAGCTAATCTCAGAGGAAAGGATTTGTTGTCTTTGCTCTCTGTTAGAAGTGAGGAAGAAGAAGATGGGTGAGCTATTTTGGAAGATGATGAGGGAATGCAGAAGAAGGGGAAAAGCTGCGCTGTTTTGGGTGTTAGGGATCTCCTCAAATAAGGTCTATTAATGTGTGTTAGGTCTGGGGATTTAAGGGTAAAAATGGGGAACGGGAAGATTGGGCTGGGGTTTAAAAGTTAATTTGAGTCATATTTGGAATTGGCCCAATTTTAAAAGAAACAAGACCAAAAATATATTCTTTCTATTTTTATTTTCTTTGTTTTTTTTTTCCTTTTTCTTTTTCTTTGATTTTAAATTCTAATTAAATTAATTAAGATCCTAAATCAATTTATTTTTTGTAGAAATTAAAATTCTTTATTTATTTTTAACATTAAACGACTAATTAACTTAAAACTAAAGAAAAATACTAATTTTAAAGACTAAACTCTAAATATGTAACATGACTATTTTTTGTGATTTTGGCTTAATAAAATTAATTCCTAGATGCAAATTGAACCTAAGATGGCATGAAATTAAAACGTGATAATTTTTATGATTTTTCTATGATTTTAAAATATTAAAAATGCATGAAATGTAACTAAATAAGGAAAACTCCTAAAAATCAATTAAAATTATTTTGGTCTATTTTTAGGAGTTATTTTCATGTAGGGCAAAAATTAGGTGCTCACATTTGTCCCTCTTTGCTCGGAAACATGAAGAGTTTTCGGGCAAAGATAAAGTGAGTGATTAAGAGCAATATTTGCCCGTTTGAAACTCTATTGGAAGCATTTTGAAAAAGTTAGACCGAACCTTGCTTCGGAGGTTGTCTACATATCCTTGGCTATAAAGGAATCAGGTCGGTGTAGTTCTGAAAGTTTTGGTAGCTGGGACTATTGAAAAACTGTGATTTCACTATTGTTGCTGCTGTTTCTGCTTGCTGAGCTCCTTATTACATCAAAATGAAAAATAAAAAACTAAACTAGCTAAGCCTATCAACTATGAATTACAATATTCCTATCTATAAACCTTCTAAAGTTTGATCATGAGTCTTGGCTGGTTCTTCCTACAGACTCTGATCTGAATCTTGATGCTCGTTAGTTGCAACCGCTGGTTCATTTTCTTCAGCTTTTTGAAACAAGGCCGGACATGCAAAGCTTGTGACTTTAATCATATCTTGAGTAGTCCACATCTTTTCTCCGCTTTTACATTTAGAGTTCACTTCTTTTCTTGTTCCTCTTTTGGTCATCTCAAACCTCGTGCCTCATGGTAAAAACTTGTTCATGAACCAATACAAACAAATGAACAAAACTTTTCTGCCCTAGTTTTCACTAGGAAAATTTCGTGAGTTATTGTAACAAAATTTAAACTACTTCTTTATTGAAAGCAATAAAATCATGATTGTGTATACTTGAGAAAAAGAGATTAGGGAGTGGAGACCCTATATCTAAAATGAAATCAAATGGGGATCGGAGGCCCTAAGTTGGAAAGATTATCAGGTTATGCTAGCATCAAATAGGGAGTGGGACCCTATACTGGAAAAGACTATCAGGTTATGTTGGTAGAGTCAACGGGTTATGCCGGAAAAGTCCTCGGCTTATGTCGGAAAAGTCATCGGGTTATGCTGGGGAAGTCATCGGGTTATGCCGGAAAGGTTCTCGAGTTATGTCGGGGAAGGTCCTCGGGTTATGCCGCGGAAGTCATCGAGTTATGCCGGAAAGGTCCTAGTCATCGGGTTATGCCGGAAAGGTCCTTGGGATATGCCGGTGAAGTCATCAAGTTACGCTGGAAAGGTCCTCGGGTTATGCTAGGGAGGTCATCGGGTTGTGCCGGAAAGGTCCTCAGATTATGCCGGGGAGGTCATCGGGTTATGCCGGAAAGGTCTTCGGGTTATGCTGAGGAAGTCATCGGGTTATGCCAGAAAGGTCCTCGGGTTATGCCAGAAAAAGTCATTGGGTTATGCCGGAAAGGTCCTCGGGCTATGCCGGGGAAGTCATCGGGTTATACCGGAAAGGTCCTCGGGTTATGCCAGGGAGGTTGCGTTATGCCGGAAAGGTCCTTGGGTTATGCCGGGGAAGTCATTAGGTTTGTCGGAAATAGGAATGATGAGTCAGTGCATCCATCACCAGGGCAAATAGGAATGGGCTGAGCGCAGACCCTTGGTGCAACCCCGTAACAACAGGAAAGTGTTTAGAGTCGCCTCCTACTGTCCTAACCCGAGTCTTAGCTCCAACATACATGTCTTTAATCACCCTAATATAGTCAACTGGGACCCCTTTATCCTCTAAGCAGCTCCATAAGACCTCCCTAGGAACCCTATCGTATGCTTTCTCCAGATCAACAAACACCATGTGGAGATCCTTCTTCTTATCCTTGTACTGTTCCACCATCCTCCTAATAAGATGGATAGCTTCTGTGGTAGATCTCCCTGGCATGAACCCGAACTGGTTGTCTGAAATAGACACCGTCCTTCGCACTCTCATTTCTACCATTCTCTCCCAAACTTTCATGGTATGACTTAGTAATTTGATGCCCTTATAGTTGTTACAGCTCTGGACATCACCTTTGTTCTTATACAACGGAACCATTGTACTCCACCTCCACTCTTCAGGCATCCTATTAGTCTTCAATATAACACTAAACAATCCAGTAAGCCATTCCAAGCCTGCTCTACCCACACACCTCCAAATTTCAACCGAAATTTCGTTTGGCACGGTAGCTCTGCCCCTTTCATCTTACGCATTGCCTCCATGACTTCATCGATGTCAATGTCCCTACAATTACTTAATTCATGGGGACTGTCGGCATTCCTCAATTCCCCAAGTATAATATCCTGATCCCCTTCTTCACTTAGAAGTTTATGAAAGTAGGTCTGCCACCTTCTCTTAATCTGCTCATCTCCCATCAAAACTTTTCCGTCATCATCTTTTATGCACCTCACTTAGTCCAGATCCCGAGTTGTCCTCTCTCTCGCCTTAGCGAGTCGGAATAACTTCTAAAGAAAAGCGAAAATATTTTTGGACTTTAATTATTCAAAAAAAAAATAAGATTTATAAAGAGGGGAAAGATATTTTTTCTTGGATTCTTTCTTTTCTGACTTTTTTTTTGGATATTTTGAAAAAAGTACTTCAAAATAAAGGAAACTTGTACTTCGGATTTTGATTTTTTATTGATTTTCTTTTTTATTTCCTTTTTTTCGTATGAAAGACTTAGAACAAAGGAAACTATTTTTTTGAGTTTAAAAATATTTTTTTTAAAAAACAAAAATTTCTAAAATAATGCTTCTAAAAAATGAATTAAATGAAAATATTTTTTGGGGGGGATTTTTAAAAATTGGGGCCGAAACCGATGAGTTTTGCATACGTATCTCACATCCGGTGAGAAACAGACCCGCGTAGTTCGGTCACTTTTGACGGAACAGGGAAATATGGCACTTGAATATTTTGGCTCAATTTGGAATGACCTTTCTTCTTCTCTTTTTTCACAATTTCAGCAGAGTTTCAGGATATTTTCAAGTACTTGGGTTTTTTGAGAACCTGGTGAATTTTCTCTTTCCTAGCTCACTCTGATTTTTGTTTTCTTTCTTCTTTTTCTTCTTCTGTTTTTTTTTATTTTCTTTCCCTATTCTAGAAGCCGGTCAACATGCAAGCCGAAAGAAACAGATGCGCAGGTAGCACGTAATATGCATCAGGATGGTCTTTTAATTTGGGGACCTGTCCTAGACGGACCCAACCCCTGTGTTGGGTCCCCAAAGTCAGATGCACATGATGCAAACAAGTGTTCCTACTATGGATCCGGCATGAGGCTGTGTTATTATAGGTTTAAAATCTGGGTGTATTGTTCTAGACCTGGCTTACCCAAGCGGACCATTCGAGCCAAGGGGGGCTACGTACCGGGAACCAAAAGGTCATTCGGCTTTATAACTTGTCCGAACATCATTCTAAATTAGGTATGACACTAACAGAAAAGAAGTCATGCCAGCGTGTACTTCCCAGAAGATTAGAAGAGAAGGGTTAGCAGTTTATATGCATTTCCAATAATATCAAAGCGGTAAAAAGCGATATTTAGCACATTATGCCCAAGCATGTAACAAAAATCAGATAATAAATAAAATCCAATTATAAAAATTATTCTAAGTTCGAATTCTTGAACCCTTAACCATAGATTCTGGGTTCTTGTCCCCTGTAGAGTCGCCAGAGCTGTCACACCTCCTTTTTACCACCTGAAGGGGTATATAAGTGAGTTTTTCCAATTAAAGTGACATAAATCTAAATGGGATCATTTTATTTATTTTTAGAGTCGCGACTTGGAATAATTTATTTGGTGTCTCAAGTCACCGGTTTATTTCAAATCCCAAGTCGGGGAGAATTTTGATTTTATTGAAAAGTCTGCAAAACCAGAAATTCTAGATAAGAAATTCTGTTAACCCGGGTGAAGGTGTTAGATATTTCCGGGTTCCGTGGTTTGAGCACGGTCTCTTAACTATTAATAATTGGCCGATTATCTGATTTATTACATATTTTAAATCTAGTGTGCATTTTTAAATTTATTTATTTAAAACCGCTTTTAGAATATATGGAATTTATTTTCTTGAACAAGTTACGATTATCGTACACTTGCCATTTTGGAACACACCGCAAATCATGCTACATGAAATGCACCCGCGATGTATTTGTTATGATCGGGTCACATGAAGTGCACACCTGAATTTGGGTTAGGTATCATGACTATGCCACGGGAACTGTACCCATAATCACGATGCTTTATTAATCGCACCTAAAGCAAGCTACGATGTATTTACTTGGTCCTAAATTGAATATGTAGTTTATTTGGTCCTCGAGCTATCTTACACTTTAGAATCTATTAGTAGTTGGATAAGGAACTCATTTAGCCTTTGACTTTTTAACTTGAAGCTATATTTGGCTTTTCTGCATTGTGTTCCACCAAATGGTTGATTGAAGACAAGCGCAAGAGCCAAATGTATTTGTATTTTCAAATAATATCAAAACACATCCAAGTAAAGGAAGTAAGGAATAAAAAGGGAAACTATGTCATGTTCATTATAAAGAGTTATGTGTACAGATTTACCAACTCCAAGTATCTCACAGAATGAAGTTAGACAACAATGGATTCCTTG